GGGGGACAAAGACAGTTCTAGCTCAATTTCAGCTTCACTTCCTCCCCTTTAAAACTATTTGAACCTTTCTCACCTTTGCAATGGCATCCATTTCTAACAAGACTTAAGAAAGCTAGAGCAATTCTTGAACACAAACTAGCTGGATAGAAACAAAATGTATTGTCCCAGTGGAACCCCCCCCCCCCCCCCCCCCCCCCAAACAATAGTAACTCTTGTTTGACCCTGGCGTATAGGGAAAGCTACTAATTTTTCTGGCAACAGTTATTTATAATCTTTAAGTTTTCCCTGAGTTCACAACAAAATCCCAAGTCTGCCTTACTTTAACCCATACTGATACCAACTCCTTTGACTGCCAAGCCCAAAGCAGTTGAATCTGTCAGTGTGAAAACTGATACCCAGTTTTGTATTTGTCCACATCTCCTCAACCCCTTTTACTTTTACATTTTCTCCAAACACTACAGCAACCTTTGTTACAATAAATTGTCCGAGACTAAAATTTTAGATGATTGAAATAAAAAACTGTAAATTTGAGACTGACCCATTATTTCAGTGTGCATGCATCCCTCCCCTCGTTTACCTCCTCACAACACCTTATTAATTTGTTTGTTTGAGCAGGTACTTTATGTCACTCTCGACTCAAGATTTGGTCATCATCATAACACCAACACCTGCTCGAGTGAAAAATACACTATGCTGAGTACGGGAGCTCAGCTCTGTTCACACCATGCCGCGAAGAGCCACCTTTCTTCAGACTCTCCCAGCCAGGAAGGAGGAAGTCTCAGTCATTGAGCATAACAAACATTACCGCCCAGCGCTCAAGAATTGGCTCACGGACACAGCCTATGTTCTCACTTTCCTTCATAAAATCATCACAGCATGCCATAAGGACTTAGGCATGCGTGCCTGTAGAGTATGTGAGAGAGGGTTGCGAGTGGGCACAGATCTCACTCCCCTTCCCCCAAAATTTAGTTTGCAGCAACTTCGCCCAACAGCCACAGAGGCTCGCTTCCCGAGGGGGAGGCTGTCAGGCGGGCACTACCGAACGACAAAACAGGGCAAACTACAGCAATAAAGCTAGGCTAACCTACGTTGACTCACTTCAGACGGGTCACACAACAGTTGTGTGACCCCCGCCGCGACGCTCGTGACGGGTCTCACGAGCCCTGCGTGACCAACTTTGGAATTTTTTTTTCGCTCTACAAATCACGCACGGATCGCGAGACCCGCCTCGTACCCTTGTTTGGCCAAGCCTGAGCTACTTAGACTTCGTTTCGTATCTCTGGGGCCGGTAGTTTTTAAGTTATTGAAGGTGAAGGACAGTGACCCCAACTGGGGTTGAACAGACCGCAACTCGCGCTATGTTTTTTTCTATACAGCTGATAGTAATCCGACAGTCGCGTCGTAGTAACGGTCGAAGAAGTCGCATGAACAAGAATCACATAATTTCGCCGTTTTCTATACTTCTGTGCGTTTTACTAGTTCTAGTGTCTCAGAATATGATGTGTCTAATAGTTAGGATCCTGGATATGTACCCGAACACGGCCCGAGTCGTAGTTCTAGGGCTAGATCTAGCACTAGTACCGGTGTTGTTTTTCGCGCAACGAAATCACAACGTCGTGCCGTACATCTGTCTCATGTAATTCAGTGTATGGGTCTGAATCAATGCACAGACCAGCTTTTATATTTTCACCAAACACTCGCACATGTAAACAAATCAAACCAGAACACTTTGAACTTTTATTTTTGTTGTTGCAGTGAATTTCATTCTACTTGTCACGTCTCTGGAAATTTTTCGGAAAATCAAATTCATGCCAATTTTTAAAAAGTCATACAAATTAAAGTATTAGACTTAGACAACTTTAGTTTTTTGTACTAGATTAAGCTTGAATGTTACTTTACTGTGTCAAAAAATGATTACAATAGGGTAATTCTGAGAGTTGTGGTGATTTATTGAAATACCCCCAAAAACGCCAGTCTTCAACGCTTGTGACTGGTGAAAGGGCCCAGTCGCAAGTGAGTTAACCAAGCTAAGAGGCGAGGCTAGACTGTAAAAAAAGTACAAAGGAAAGTAAGTAGTCTGCATTCCTTTATTGACTTGTGTCCACTCATGTCCTTGTTATAAGAGATGGGAAAACATTTCAGAAATAGTCAAACCTGTGTAAGACGGCCACCCATTGTCAAGGACAAAAGTGGCCGTATAAGACAGGTGGCCGTCTTAAGCAGGACTGATCAAGATAAAGAAAACAAACCATTCCCATCTGAGGCCCCAATCGAAAGTAGCCCCATTATGTTGTCTTTGTTGGTGTTATTGTTGTTAGCTTGTATTTCGTTTGTAATTTTTATTTTTCGCTGATTTTGCACAAGGGTGACAATAAAACGAAATGTATAAGACAAGGAAGACTGAATGCCATGTTAAAACAAACGCATGGGTCGGAGAACGAGAGACGCTTTTGTAACAAGTTCATGTTGACGTCCTCTGTTACTTTGTTACAGACTGGGTAAACAGTGACCACTCATCTCACTTACGATTTGTGTATGAGTTCTGGGCGGGGCTTATGGGTTATGAGGGATCACACGCTTACCTCACCAGCAGCTGAAAATTGGTATCTATTGGTCAACAGTGGGAGGGGCCTACGCAACATGATCGGTTGGAGGGACTACCTAACAACAACGACAGGTGATTGAATTATGACGGCTCGCCCACAACGCCAGGGGCCAATGCACAATTT